CAGCAGTTCCTGTGTTCAGCAATGTAAATGTGAATTTTTTCTCAATGGAGTCTGGCTTTGAAGAAAGCAATGTAACGGCTTCAGTTCCTTGTCGGAAATCACTGTCTGATAAAAAGGTAAAGCTGAGAAAATACTTTTAATATAGTGTGCACTTAATTTGATATTGATTTTTTTAGGTGGGACTTTTTCTAAGGTGGCTTAAGTATGTTTTGTTGCTAACCCCTCCACAGCAGTACATTACATTGCTTCGGTGTCAGACTCCTGCCTGCTACTCCCAACTGCAATCTACTATAAGTAATACATTGACTATGGATAAGTACCTTATATAACTCCACTTTAAAAAAAAAATCCAAACTATCCCTTTAAACCGAACAACAGCAGCTCTGGCAGACAGAGCAGCAGGGTCTACATGTCTACATTTTATGCCAAAGCTTGTTGTCGATTAACTGAGCTCATTTAGAAAACTGACAACCTTTGCTACTTTGCAGCAGACACTGTGACTTGCCGTTGGCAGAACAAACAAAACAGTCACCGGATTCGTGGCTAGCTTTGGCCTGTTAGGACTGATATTGTGATAATGTATTGAACATGGTAATGATCTAAAAGGGGGAAAAAATGCCTGGTTTCAAACTTCTTGGGTCTTCAGGATTGAAAGCAGGAGAGGACAACAGGTGGATAATCATTCAAATATAATCCAAAGCTCAGTATAAAGGATTAATAGAAAACAAAGGAGTAGAAAACAATACATTTAAAGTCATAGTAGAAAAAGTAACACACAGCCTTTGTTAGCAGATAAGAGTTTGCTCTGTTGTCATGGATCTATTAATGTTCAAATTTACTTTTATTATTTTCTGGGCACTTTGCATCAGAGTTGAGTTTCAAATTCCTTCTTTACATCACCGCAGACCCTGTGGTGATATTGTTCTGCTGACGTCTGTTTCCAAGATCAAAAATAAACCTTTCATCTTTATCGATCTATTTTTTAACTGTGCAGTGATCCAACATACAAGTGCCTGACTCTGGTAGTAATCTGCAAACATCACTAGATGGCAGTGCTGATTCAAAGTTCACATGCTTGCCAGGTCCCTCAAATTTCTTCCTTCTTTTTTTTTCATCTCTTTGTATGATTTAATGGTTTTGTCCACTGCTTTGCACGTAAGGAATTAAAATATTCAACTTATTTTTATCAGCTCCAGTGCAGATCTGCTCTCATTCATTGCTCCTCTTGCCTGAAGGACAGAGAAAGAGGAGGGAAAATCAGATATAATACATTATCTGAAAGAAAAAAAAATGATATAAAGCGATGTTAAAATCATTCATAAATAATTGTTAGTTCAATTTTGTCACTGGTATGATGGGTGTTAAAGATCAGTGCTTGTAAAATTCAACTGAGCTGAATTTTTCAACACATCCAGTAATTGTTAATTGAATGACCTTTTGTAATGACCCCGATGTCTCAGTTTTAATATACAAAGCAAAAGGAGATGTTGCCAAGTGTGGGTGTCTTCTGTGTAACCTGATTGAAAAATGATGAATACATTTCAGAATACTTTATTATTGGATAACAATGTTAATTGGGATTGTAAGCAGGTGTGACCTTCTTGACAAAGATCTACTAGGCATCTTTTTTTTTGTAGCTTGAAAACAGTAAGACAGCTCTGCATATTAACCACATTTAATTAAAAGAAATCTCTACAATTATTTGGAAAATGTCTTTAATTCAGTTTAACTTTCTGTTGACATGTGTGTAGTATTCTATATGTGCACAGTATCCACCATAGTGTTTTTATTTCGGTGTGTGTACTGGTGTATCTATGCATGTGCAACTATGCAGGTCCATGTATATGTCACTGGGTATACACTTTGTTTTGTACAGTAATAGCAGCAATATTAGTAGCAGATGTAGACCTTTTACATATCAACCATACATAGCAGAGCTCTATATGGTTATTTGTATGGCTTTCTATGACAGGATGAAACTAAGCCATTGTTAATGTTAGCTGCACCTGTACTTTACTTGCTATATGTCAAAATTTCTGCTGTGACTGTTGTGTAGTTGTGGTGATACCCAGAAGCACAGCTAGATGTAACTATCAGCCCAAACCTAAGGCTCCGAGGGCATGCTCCGCCTTGGAGATTTTGTTCTTATTTACAGCAACTACGTTTCAAGCCCTTTAAACCCTCTGGTACCCACATAGACACATTTTTATCTTTTTTTAGAGGGACAGGGGAGATAGCAGGTCAACAGTATGTGAAACACAGAAGTGGTAGACATCATTTGAATGCAGGGAACCTGAAGGTTAATTTGAAATACAGCTTAGCATGGCGTATAAAGGTTTTCTAGTCATAAATATGTGATAGACACTAAGTTTTATTCAAATTTTGAAAGTCTAGAGTGTATAGGGAGAACATTATGATGGAAGTATATGATAACCATTCTCATGCTCTATTATGTCTCATAAGTTGTTGCAGCAATTTTTGGGCTGATACCATTTGTTACACAGTTTTGGTGCTAAATTTATGTATGCTTGACCTCTCAAGAACTCATGGTCAAAAATCCCTCCAAAATACCACAGTAAGACAGTAAGTGGGTTTTTTTTTCAAAAACATTTATATTTGGAGATTTCTGCAAAAATTGCATTTGATTCGATGGCAAACACTTCTGTTCTTGAAACTGTTTAGAAACCCCTTATTGTCAGTCTACCTAAGAAGCAACCCATCTTCTAAATGCCTGACATCTCTAGTTTGTAGTTGTGAAGTTTTACAAGGCTGTGATTATCCTAGAGGTCACTATAGGTCATTTTATACAGTGATGTCCGTTTCAAGAAATGGTCTTACTGAAAAAAAATTGGGCTCACTGAATCCACAAGACTCTCAGCTTTCCAGTCAGACCCAATTTATGCATTTCCAAGACTGTTTGGAGACCCCAGTAGGCAGTAAAAATAAAAACATTAGGCAAAAATAAAACATTTATACTGAATGCAAAAACTGCATGTTTTTCCCCAAAACTGTATGGGGTTAGCATTAAGTGGGCATGTCTGTACAGGGGAGACTTGTGGGTACTTACAGAACCCATTTTCAATTGGAAATCTTGAGGTGATAGGTCAAGAGACCCCTGTGATTTGCCATGCTGTTTTTCCCTTGCCAAAATTTAGCATAATAAAAACATAACAAATGTTGAGGATAACTTATTTTCACTCCCGCCTCCTAAAAAGAGGCAAACATTGCCTGATGTCCCTGTTTTTAAGTCACATAATATAGCTAGGGTAGGAATCTGGCTTAAACAGCATTACTAACCCTAAAAACACCTACCGGTATTTTGCCCCAGCAGCATGTTTAGTGCACAGTGATAGTGTTGTTTATTGGCCTTAAACTAATTAGGCAAAATCGGCTTCATAAATTTCATTCAAATTAACTCAAAAATTGTTGACTCAACATTAAAAGATTTGTCAAGCTCATAAGGATTGAGATCTTGTGTCAAGTGAACACAATTTTTTTATTTCATTTTGACAATCCAGGGCATTTGTGTAGACTTTACCATAAAATTTTGTGTCATAGATATTTTTGGATTTACACTGTATGCTGGAGTAGAGTGCACAGACTGAATGTTTAATTGATAAATCTGCTATATTTAAATCCATGCCATAATAATCCAGGCTGCTGTAATGGCCAAGGATCCCCAACAATGCAAGTAAATGTGGTCTTCAATACTCTGAATTAAATGCTAAGCCAACAGAAGAATGTTTACTCAATTCTATTAGTTTTCTTTTGGGAATAGCATAGTAGGATAAACAACATGGGCCTATATTATTATATGAATGACAAAAAGTTGAAGAATTTTTAAAACCTAAAAGATACAGGGTTTTTGGGAAAACATTCAGGGCTAGAGCCCCACAAGACACCCCCTTTTTCTGCCTCTGGTAATACCAATAGTGATATAGTTGTGGTAGTACTTGCAGATGTAAGTTTATAATCAATCAGACACAAGATTAAAATCATGTTAATTGTTAGTGCGCAACGTTCTTCACAAAAACCATCAGTGTGAATTGAAACAGATGTTGCTGTAAGTATGACTTAAAAACAGTAAGACAAAAAAAGTGTTACAGAAAAAAGAAAATATATTCAAGTGAAATACCACAATAATAAAATTTGGAATTAGTCACAGGCCACTGTGTAATTCAACAGCTTTCATTCCTGTACCACAGCAATGCATGGTGGAGTAGAACTGATTCACTGAGTCACAAACCTGTGGCTGGAGGCTAGTGTCAGAGCAAGCTGAAGAAAAAAAACTCAGACTGATTATTCCTGAAATAGACTGGTAACCATTATCATTTTGATTGGCAGTTCTGCTGGCCTCTTCATATTCCTCCATAGACACTTAAAGAATAGAAACCTCCATTAAGTTGATGCAAAGCAAGGACTTAACAAGCACAGAGTAATTCATAAAAGGAAGCTGAAATCGCTCTAGTATATTAATGCAGTTTTATCGGGGTCATCGAGAGCATCTTGTTGACACAAAGTTTGTGCTCTCAATTCACATTTAATGTCAGGAAAATATACCACAAAAACATTTCATTTTTTGTGTGTTTTTTTCAGTTGAGTAATAGACAGATAAACACCTAAAGGACAAGCCATGAGGTAATATGGTCATTATAATATTAACAACACCTGAACCTCTGCTACCACAGCAGGATGAGGCCATTCTTGGATATTTAGATATACAGGTATTTGGTTCCAAAATGACAGTTTACCTTCAGGCTCTGTTTTCCTAACTCAGAACCTGTCAGCTGTGGAGAAAACACACACGTCGACGCTAATTCAAAACTACAGCGTGTAAGGTGAGGTGAGGCTGCCCATCGGCCCTGCTATACCCCAAACTGTCCTTTTAAAATAGGGGAAAAGGGAAATGAACAGATGTACTGTATCTTTGAAATCTTCAGTGGGATTATGATATACAAGATTAACAACAAACTATCTGTGTTTACTCTTCTCCCCTGCAGCTACGCCACTAAGACTGATCCATAATAATAATCCCCAGCTGGAGAACAAACAACATCTGGGCGTGGAGAGAAGGGAGAGGGTGAAGTCTCAGCAGGGTTGGCGGCAGATGGTGACACTGCAGCAGCACTTCTCCAGGTAGCACCTTCACCACACCAACAACCAGCTGCACACACTGAAATACATTGACATACTCTAATAGAGCCTTATTTTTAAAGGCAAATACCAATGCCAATATTTAAGAGCTTAAAAGAGAATTCAATGATTTTACATATCAAAGTCTGTTTGAGGTTTTGGGGAGTACTACTGTATATGTTGAAAAAGGTTGTATAAAGCCTCTTGTGGCTCCAGAAAGAGCAGCACAAAGTTTGATGAATTTTGTGGAGCTAGAAAAAGGTGTGCTTACCCCGCCCACTGTCACTCCGAACTCGTCAAATACAGCTGCTTTGTCACTGATTTCAGCATCAAATACAGACACACAGAGGCACGTTTGGCGGTGGTCAGATATGCATTTGGTGGCAGCTATTTCTGACACGGCTGGCAATAATTGAACTCGTCAAATAGCGCTGCTTTGTCAGTGGATGTCAGCGTCACACACCGATGCATCAAGACACTCTTCGTGGCGATATAATTCGCAGTAGGCCGTGGCCATTTTTTTAAGATTATTTTTGTGGGCTTTTTACCTTTAATGACAAGACAGAGAGTGAAATGGGGAGACAGAGAGAGAGTGGGGACTGACATGCAGCAAAGGGCAGAGAGCCGGATTTGAACCCGCGGCCGCTGCAGTGAGGCAATGCCTCTGTACATGGGGCGCCGGCACTATCCACTACGCTACCGACACCCCAGGTGGTGGCCATTTTTGATGTCATCAGCAACTACCCTAGTGTAAGGAGCGAGAAAGTTCACAGAGGGTGGGTGGGTTTGGAGGTGGGTGTATCTGAATGACTGTAATGAGCAGAACCTGTATATTTCCAGTGAAAACAGAAATGTATTTTGAAAAGACACAATACATTTAGCAAGCATCAATTGAGACACCATCTGTGAATGTCCTAACCAAAGCAGGAGGCTACCTAGCGCGTTGTTTTTTGATGTTTAGGTCCACAGTCAAAGCAACAGTATGTAACCAGCATGAGAAGGGGTTGGCTTACCAGACTTCTGTAGCCAGCTCATCATCTCTGATTAAGGCTAGAGGCTCAAAGCTACCTTTGCTGCTACTAGCATAACACACCCAAATTTCCAACTAAACTGACAGCGGTTAAACTGCATTGCTGTAGGCACCAGCTTTTGGCAAGTAAGAAGAAAGCACAGAATAAAAGATATGACGTCTCTGGTTCCACTGTATTGATTTTTGATCCTTTTTTTAAACAATTCATCATGATTCCAACAATGTTATAGGAGTGGGAGAGAGTCTCCCTGTCTTTTCCTGGCTCTGGGCAACAGTGGTAGCAAAAAAAGAATTATCCAGGATTTAGCTTCAGAAATTTCAACCTTGATAGTTTATCTTTTGAATGAAAGCTGGTAGCCTTGCCTTTGACACTATTGATTTGTGCCCTTGGTAACCCCATATATGACATGTAATCATGCAATGATAAATTTACTAAGCTGCAATAAATTTATTTATTTATTTATTTTTGGCTCTTTGTGGGCAAACTGCCCACGCTGAAAACACAGCACTGACAAAGGCTATTATCACCTTAGAAAGTTAGTATGGCATACCTGTTAGTCTGCAGTTGCCTATTACACATCCAGCACACATGGAGCAACATTAACATTTAAGCCAACTTGTATGTCTGGCACTTGATAAATGTAAGTCAAATATTCATTCTCCTTTTAACTTTGTTTTTGGTCTCTACCACCTCCTGAAGGAAATTATCTGTCTCTTAAGATGGTAATGCTCACATCATCACACACATCATCACGATACGAGCTACCTAAAATTACTTTGAGAGAAAAATAATTGACATCGTCTTTTTTAGTTTGGCCCATATCCTATCTGCTAACACAGAGGGGTTAGGGTTTATGACCTCTCATGCAGACAGCCACCAGGGGGTGATCGGGATGTTTTTGCTTCACTTTCTTGGAGTTGTCATGTAAGTAATTTCCCTTGTAGACCTTTACGATCTGGTAATGTAGTGTAGGAGCTGATTTTGAAGTTGTAAAATGTTCACATAAGATGTTTTCATAGTTCATTACGTATTTAATGAAATTTGTGAGACACTGTTGCCCTCAATACACTCAAGCCATCACCTGTGCAGCACTACAGCTTGCCAGTTAGGGTGACGTGAGGTTTTTCTGTGAGGTGTAATGTTTCACAAAGTTCCCCCTGTATCACAGTCTTGGTAGATTAAAAGCCAGTGGCCACAAGTCAATGACAAGCCATCCAAGCGAGCAACAAACATAATGCATAGCACACATCCATCAAAGGCCAAACACCAAATGTGCTGGGCTTCTGTGGCGACATCCAACATTTTCATTAACTTGAGAGCCCACTTCACGTAGAGATTGGCTTTGAAAGAAGAAATCTGCTCAGTTTTATTGGAGGACTCAACACTTAAACTTGATATGAAGTGTCAACCTACTGCAGTGAGAGACTACCACTGTGCCCCCACTTATTGATCCCAGCATGCCATAAAGGGAAATAATAACCAAGCATTATGTCCAGCCAACTGTTAGGCTGCTGACGGCCCCTCATGATCCAAGTTCGATCCCATCTGCATGTGCTCAGCGAGGTGTGAGATTGGGCCCGATGATTTGTGACTGTAAGTTAATTCACCCTTGCCATGCAGAAGATATCTGCACCGCTGCATGATATTTAGGGATATTAGAAATTAGGTTTGTTTTTATCTCCGTGCTAGTTAACACAGGGTGATGTGTCAGTCAGTCATAGAACTGTATTTAAAAAAGAAAAAAAACTAAAAACATAACTATACTTTCATAGAATTTTCAGAAAGTGGTTAAAGTTTTCGCTAAATTATTTTGTTTCATTCACTGCATCATATTTTAAGGTCCATTTAATCTTGTTATGTGCAGTGTCTCATCCAAAGCAGCCTTTATAACCAAACCATGACTGTCAGAGCTCTGATGAAATTTGCTGGTAATAAGCCTTCAAACATTGGCCTCTAAGGACTCTTAAGTGGTACTGGTGAAGCTCTGGATGATACTTTTTTGTCTCATATACTATTTATTCATGAAGTTTATCACTAAAAACTTGACATTGACATTATGTTTTTGATACTCTCTGCATGAAAAGATCTGGGTAATTTCAATTTCATACTACATAAGTCAATTACTACTTTTTAGACTCACAACAAACACCAAATCATCTCAGAGTCATTTTGTTGGCGTAAGATGCTACTTCTGTCTTAATTCCTTTTTTTTATTTTTTATTTCACAACAAATGAGTTTATGTAAGTGTAAAAACACAGTTCTTTTATCTGTGTGATTACTGTGATTGCTGAAGCATAATAAGAGGGGCGGAAAAAAAACATAGATAAAAAAGTTTTTAAGTAGTTCCATTAAAGAAGCTTTAAACAACTTTGTATATTTGTATATATTACAGCCCAGTTGCCAGAAGAAAAATTTGACATTGTACATTTCTGCTACCCACAAATACATTACATATGCATGTTTCATATGAATCACATTAACGTGGCTTAAGTAACATAGTATATGAGCTGACTTTGTCCTCAAGAGGTGGATGCAATGGTGGATGGTGTGATGCCTGCCAAGCTGCAGACCACTGCAGAGCACTGTTCAAGACCAACAAAAGACAAAAACAGTTCAGGGAGTCATTGCTGTGTCTCCAGCAGCTTTTTAGGCACCACATATGGGTGTTTTGCAAGCGGCAGTTCTCCCCCCTTGCTCCTCCACAGTGCCAATCTCTCACTCAAATATGGTTACTTCTGTCTCCAAAAACCAAGATAGTGTTGGATAAAATGCCGAGCTTGAGGCTTAAAAAACAAGTGGGTAATGTCAAATTGGCTACCCCTATTATTTTTACAGTCAATGGTGTTTTGTAGTGACCTGTTGTTGTTTTTCCTGCTGAGATAGTGCCAAAAGAAGTGGCTGTTTTTTGTTGTTTTTTTTGTACCAAGATGCTGCTTTTCCAGCCAAGACTTTGCACCCAAAACTGGATATTGTAAACTAAAACATGATCTTTTCCTAACCATAACCAAGTTGTTTGTTTGCCTAAACCTAACCACACATTCACCACATTGTTGTTGAAATTTTAAGTTGTAATGTTTTAGCTGCATAATCACATGCAAATGTAATGTATCGGTGGTTTGCAGAAACATACCAACGTTTATTCTGGTGAATGGGTTGTATGTAAAGCACATTGCCTTTATGCACATTAAACTCCGATACCTAAATTACAGTCCAGAAGTTATTTGTGGGCAGTATCAAATAAACTTCACAGTGGAATACTGTATTATCCAAATAAATGAAAAACTTACATAAACATAACATCCCATCACTAGAAGAGCAAAGATGTGTGTGTTGACAAGCAAATCACTTTTTCTGCCTTTTGTATGATTGTTACTCTAAAATGTTGTGTATAATTTCTCTTTACAATTAACCCTTGAAATACTGAAGGCACTTTCAAAAGACAAGGTAAAACAAAATGTAAACCATACTCGGTGTTTCATTTTTACCTCTTTACTTCTGATTTAATCAACGTTATTATTTTTTCCTTTCATAAAATTAAAAAAAAAAACAAAAAAAACCACTGAAAGCAAGGAAGATCCTGGGTAGATGGTGATTGGAAAAATGTTAAACAAAATTTAAATGATACTCTTTAAACTAAAAAGAAATCAGGTTTGAACTGAAATCAAACACTATTACTCAGTTTGTTTACAAGATTTTATTCATTGCTGATCGATGTGTAGAAAATGGATAGAAGGATGGAATACTAGACAACAAGCAACACAATCAGTGCAGAGCAGTTGAGTCATTTATCACTGAAATATATGACAATTCTCTCTTCACTTGAAAGTAAATGTAATAAATAAAGATATATGACTGCAATTAAGGATTTACTTTCAATATGTAGTAGCATTACAAATGGATTTTATATGGGCTGTCGAAACAAAACTCCTTTGCTTCACATCCACACATTGATAAAGTGGCTGCAGTGGGAT